TGGATGTAGCTTGTGATGGTGCAACGGTGGGGACAGCAGGGAAAGCTGTGTAGCGGTGGTGTTCTGGTGTGCGAGGTGGTGAGCGATCTGGGTCGCGCCAAATACCTCTTGTGGTGCTGAGGGTGGGTGCTATAGATGGTGTCGGTTTGGTTGTGCGTGGCACGTTGGGTGGTGGCGGAGGCTGAGCCGATGTGGTGATGGATGCTGAAACAGGTTCAGTGGGAGCTGCTGGAGTGTGTGGTGGTGGTGGTGGTGGAGCCGGTGTGGCAGGTTGTGGTGTAGCGGTCACTGCTGGATTGGTGGCATGTGGTAGATCAGTTGAAGAAGGTGGTGGTTGTAGTAATGGTGTGGGTGGTGATTGGCTTGCCGTATGTGGTGGATGTGGTTGATGTGGTTGATGAGGTTGAGGTTGAGGTGGCTGTGTGGGATGTGTGTGGACATGGGATTGTATTGGCTGTGTCGCTTGAAGTGGATGCTGTTGCGGATGTTGGGGACTGTCAAGAGGAGCGGTGGGTTGTACTGGAAAATGTGCTTGTACTGGATGTGGCTGCATGTAATGGGCATGAGGTGGAGGTGGTGTGGGAAATGGATAACCATGTGGAATTGGATGATGTGGTGGAACTGGTGGCAGTGTTGGGTATGGTTGCGGTGGAGCATGTGATGGGTATGGAAACCAGTGTGGGCTGTGGTTGCTGCTGTAGATGTGGTGGTAGTGAATACGGCCAGGGATACGTCATGGCTGCTCGGCAGGTCGAATAAAGTCGATGTATATAAGTAAATAGAGGTGTGAATCAAAGCAGCCCTTGAACTTGAATGAGTGAAACTGTAGACTGTATAATAGGTCGCTGCAAAGTGGAGAAGTGTGCAATTGACTTCAATTAGACTCTTGAAATTAAAATTGAACTTGAAAAATTGAACTTGAAAAATTGAAATGGAAAGGAAAGGATTCCCGGGTGAAACAGTTACAGTTTGACTCTGCAGTACATTTCAGAAGAAAATTCAGTGAACTCTGCAGTAAACTTCACGTGTGCTGGGTGAGACAATCCAAGCTGATTTCGAGCAGGGAAATTCAGTAAAGTAAATTCAGAAAAACTTCAGGAAGCTTACCCCTGCGGTGAGGAGTGGAAAGGTTCTTGCAGTAACGGCGCCCCGTAGGGATCACACAGCTTACCACAGTGGGAAGAAGCTGCGGAGACACACTTGAGAAGGTTGCTCCGTGGAGCGCGATTTCAGGCTGCTTCGCGGTGTGCATTAGCTCTTTAGGTGAATACTTAGCACTTGACTTGATTCAACGGAAAGAAGTGCTGAGTCGGTCGAACAGAATGTTTGAACATAGGTGAAACGTGGTAAGTCAACTAAAATTGCGCAGGTACGCTGGGATGATCAGTCCCAGTATCACCAAGGCTTAGAGAGCGTCTTCGTTGGCGGTAGACTCTCTGCCTTGCTACCACCCCCTGCTGCTGTACATCGGTCACAAAGTCTTAGGGTAGGTTAGAAAGAGCTAAGGTAGTGTCCTTGGAAACAGGAGTGGACACACACACACACACACTTAGGAAATGCGTGCGGAAATTGAACGCCACTTGTCACACGGCAACCTAGGCAAAAATTGTCCTGAAAAATCCAGTGATATAAGGGGGCTTGAGCACTTTTAGTTGAAATTAGTTGAAAGGCCAGGAAGTCCAAATCCACGATGCAGCGAAACGACAGGCAGGTCGAAGTGACGGCGATCGCTCTTGTCTGCTGAGTGCACTAGCCCTTTATGGAAGATGAGAGTGACAGCTTGTAAACATCACAATTCAGCAGGTACGTGGATTTTGCGTCCAGAATCCATATCAGTGACTCAAAACAGCCTCTTCGTTGGACTGCCGCTGTTAAGAGTCAGGCAGTCCCCCTGCTGAAAAAGAAAAGAAAACAACATCAAAGGAAGCCCTATGATTTGAAGGGTTTCACACACACGCCTCCCGATTAGGGAGGCAAAAATAGGAGAGTTCCTCACTTTGCGTCCGAAACAAATCAAGGGGGGCCCGGGTGCCCCCCCCCCCCCCCCCCCTGTCCGACCAAGGGGGGGTAGGGCGACCACCCCCCCCCCTCCTTTGTCGAGACCCAGACCCTGCTCCTATTGTGCCACGTCACCAATCCCTTGCTCCAGACGTTTCCCCTATACCGCCTTGGAGGTCCCTCCGAACAGCTGGGCGACTGCGGTCCCATTGTTTTGTCGCGACTGTGGTAACAGGCTCGTCACAGGCTCCAAAGTACAGCTGTTCGGTGACAGGCTTGCATGCGCACCACCACTCAAAGACTAGTGTCACATATGTCTTGACAGCTCTTTCGGTGGTACTAGTGTTACATCCTCATATAGAAATAGACTTCAAGTCGCTGGTACTGTTTATAGCAACTGCACACGGCAAGGAGTCTGCCACTGCAAGGAAAATGGTCTAATCTCACCGCGCGCCATCCACGCAACCAATGCCCAGCTTCTTGGTGTCCGGATTCAACCTTGGCCACACCGGCCGCCCAAGCTGAACGGGAGGATCCAGCTCAAAGCATGTGTTCGACGATACGACTTGCAAAACAATGCAAGCTCCCAGAAATCATCCTGGTGTACATATGGCATAGCACAGCCCCAAACCGAAACCTATTTTTCAGAATTCCCGAAAAGCGTGGAGTGAATGGGGGCTGACAGGGGCTTCAGCTGACCAGTGTTGGCAACAATTATATATACACAGAACTAACCTCACGGAAAGTGCCACCGCCACAAATGTCCAGCTGCTTCAAAACAGAACCTACAAACCCTGTCGACGAGAGCGCAAAGAAGAAGAAACGCTGACCTTGCAGCACGGCCAAACTCCAAAGCCCAGGAGCCAAACCACTTTGTCAAGCACAGCTTCACCTTTGTCCCATGCCACCTGAGCATGGCACTCGCTGCTCAGAGCTTGAAACTCCAGACAAGGTGGATCGTCAAACACGTGACGGGCGCCCCTACTCCTCTGAAAGCATGTGCATATAGCCCAAACAATCCCAAACACGATTCTGTGAAACAGGTGCTTTGGAAAGGACTTGACATGGACAATCGAGAGAACTACACATGAAACCGTTCGAAAGTGACAACTCTTCGAGGGGTCCCCGCAATTGCCCATTCTCCACACGTCCGGTTCAAAGGATCCACGAGCGGCAGCGCCTCATGGCCAGCGTCTTGGACGTGGAGGGTGCAAGAACCTCTGCGATTCGGTTGCTGGCGCGTCCGGTATCAGTCCGGCATCGGCCGTGCCACTTCATTATTGGCGACGGTGCTCGGAGGGTTGGTCACTTCCGATGTTTTGATAACCCATCACAAAATCTCTACAACCGCACGACCCGTTTCTGCCAACCCATCCTCCGTTTGTTCCAACCAAGTCGCGTCCTTTTGCTGCGGCCCGCTCCTTTCAAGAGCCTGGGCCGCATCTTCCCATAGCACTGGGGAAGCGGGGGTAACAAGACGTCAATGTATCAAACCTTTCTTGAAATCACATGGGGCCTCATCAGTTGCGGCTCATGTGCATATCCATGCGCCTACTACCCCACACACCCGGCAAGGTATGATGTTCTATATACAGGTACATATACGTCTATATGTCGCGCGTAAACGTGTCGGTTCACACGACGAGCGTGCGTGTAGCAACCACGAAAACAACGAACACCACACAACCGACGCTACAACCACACACTTAGACTAGCAGCTCAGATGAGCACAAATTCTTGGAGCGGGCTTCACTCATTGGCGCTTTACTGCAATGTACGAAATTAGGCAACGTGGCTGCCACAATGCGGCGTCCCACATTGATTCACCACAGCTGACACGGTCTTCGTTGGGCAGTTTGCGTCAGTTGTGCGCTGCCCCCCTGCCAGTGGAGCCCACTGCGCGCGTGATAGCCCTCACACTCAGATCTTACATTGCGCACGTCACTGTCGCATGTATTCCCCGTCTGTTCTTTGATTATAATGAGCAATGGCCACTGCTTGCGGACATCGATTCAAATTTATCAAGGCCATGTGTTGTCACGCTGGACGCGCCTGCTTCCGCAGCAACTTCCTCCAAATCCAGAGCCAATCCATCACCTGTGCAAAACCAGCACGTCGCAATCTGGCACCTTTCTACACCGTTCTCCATGTCCCGCCTTCACAGGACGCGTTGATCTCCAGGCAATGCCCCACGAAAACTTCCCCGTTCTCGGGCTGTCGTGGCTGGTCTGTCTTCGCAGGCATGCCAGCTCCTTTTCCCAAACGGAGTGGCTCCCGCGGCTGGTCTCGCAGCATGCACAAAGTTTGATCCAGTGCCTGCGCCAGCTTGCCCCCTTTGCGTCCTTTCTTCAGAGGCTCCTCTGCTTTCCGCAGTGCCACGACCACATCGTGCTTCCACGCAACCACTGCGCGATACTGCCGCCACGCCGGCGAAGCCCACCTGCCACAATGCAAACTGCCTTCTTTCTACATTCTTCTTCATGTTGCAAAACCGTCACCACTTTCCAGACACGCCTAGCCGTGCGGTTCATGTTGCGCACGTGGTCGGGCCACCATGCGCGTTCCACCGCCGTCGTGCCCAGTGACAAAGCTCCAGGCCCCCAGACATCCACAACCAACGCTTTCAGATCCTTGGGTTGAGCAATCATAGCAACGTCACAAAAGCACTAAGACTATATGTGACCCACGACACACATGGACAGACGCACGGTCGTCTTCACCAGGCGAGCTGCGCGGGCGGCCACCAGCGCGTTGACCACCACGGGGCGCGATTGCAGTCGACAAGTGTTGGCCCACACCGCCTTCAGGGCGGAAATGTGCTGCGCCTGCACCCGCTCCGTGTCCTCGCGCGCCAGCTTGCCCTTGCGGCGGAACAATCGATACTGCTCCGCGCTCCTCCGGCCACTGCTGCGAGCCTGGCCGAGGGAGCAGTACATGTGCAACATTGGAACGTGAACCGCTCACACAACGACGACTTTCTAGAAAAACTGCGAAGTTTGCAATCAAGGAGCCATGGGCAGTGCAAACCAAGCCGTGAAAGCATCCAAGTCCTCTGGGAAAACCTTCTCTGGCCGCGCCTCCGCCCACAATGCTTGCTGTTCCGCTTTGCAGCCCATCGCAGCCAGGAAATTCGACACAACAGCGCGAGGCGGGCAGGTCCCGTCCGGTCGAAAGAAGTGCAGCGCAGCCGCATCTCCTCGCGCTGCCTGCAGGAAGGCCTCGAAGACCACCTTGCCGGCGTGGCCAGACTGGCCCACTTTGCTATTTTGGAGCCAATCTTGGAACAGCGCCCGCCCATCCCGCTCGGGTGAGTCACGATCCTGAGCTTGGCACCCTCCTTCTGCTCTCCACTGCCCTTCTTCAGCCGGGAGATTGAAGAGCTTCGAAAACAAAGTGCGCAAAGCCCACGCCGCTTGCAAGAAATCTGCCGATCTGGCGTCCAATGCTTCTTGCAGCCTCCACTCGACGTGTTTCGGATCGATCCCGACAAAAAAACCAGAGACTCGCTTCTCCAAGTAGTCAACCTGCATAGCGGTAGGGTGGGCATGCAACAGCTTCTGGGCGACATGCACCATGGTTGCCCACATGGACTCTGTGTTATCTTGGACCCACCCAAGTGGCAGCGCTTCGGCGTCCACCATCGTGGCTTGGGCCACCAAAAATGCCACGAGCTCTGCCACCGCAGCTCTCCCTTCAGACCTCACAAACACTGTCGGACACAAGGGAATGTCAAATAGTCCCAGGGCACGCAGCGCTGCTCCGGGATCGCCGCGCCGGTGATCACGGTCTTGTTTGCGTCGGTATTGCCTGGCCTCTTGCAGAGGGGCCGAGGAGCCGTCCACGGCAATGACTGCCCCAAAGCGGGCGCAGACCCACCTCACCTCTTCCTCCAGCCGTGGGAGTTCATGTGTCTGAAAAGAGAGGAGCACGATGTTGGCTAAGTGCCGAGCGCTCGGGATGCCCCCTTTCAGGTAGAGAAACACAATCTTTCTCAAATTGTCATTCACGGCGGCTGTCGTGTACGGTAAGGCGGACCCAATGAGATCTACATAGGTTGCTTGCAGGGCCGACTGGTTCCAGTGCTTGCGGTACACGCGGCACAACCAGTCCGTCAACGACATGTCGACCACCCGCCGCTGCAACACATCGACCTGCACCCGCAGCCCGTCCGGTGGGCATTGCAACCTGCTGCCAGCGGAGGTAATGTCCAGCCTCCGGACGCCGCAAGCTGTGCATTGGACTTTGGGCACTACTGCGTGGAAGAGCTTGTCCAGTGCCAAGCCCAAGGCGACGGGCGTGCGGACGCCATCTGCCTGCACACCACGCCCACATGCCGCACAAAGGCAAGCCTGCAGCGGCAGCAGTTGTCCATGCCCATCTTGATGCCAAAGGACTCGTACAGGAAACAATTGCCTGGGACGTGCGGCTGTCCCTCAACGACTGTCTCTCTGCCAAAATGTTACAAGAAAGTATTTCCACTCCTGTTGTGCAAAAATACAACCGAGCTATTTCAAAGTGCCAAGGCACCTCAAGGCCTGAAAGTCCTTGCAGTCCAAGGCCATGTCCGCGCGGCACATTTCGAGCAGCTTCGCGCACCGTGCTGCCACCTTGGCCTCGGACGCTTCCTGTTTGGCTTTGGACCCCGAGAGCAGCTGATCCACAGACGCCACCATGTCGGACACTCGCCAGCAGACCTTGGACAGCGGCAACGTAAAATCATGCCGCCAACCAAAGCGCGGCGCGAGGCAAATGATGCTGGAGCCGCGGACCTCCCCCAGAGTTTTCCATTGCTGCTGGTAGTGGCAGATATTGAAGCACACCTGGTTTGGGTGTCTTGCACACTCCGAGTTCCTCTCCACTTTGCAAGTCAGAAAAGCACCACCAGAAATTTGGAGGACCGCGTAGCCGTCTTCTTGCAGGGAACGAAACAAAACTGACCCGCGTCGGATGAGCCCGTCGCGTTGCACAGCCACGGCCAGGCGCTCGTCACAAGTCTGCACCATGTGCTGCATCAAGTCACCCGTCGGCAAGCGGTGCCCCACACGTTGGAATGCCCGAATACGAGCTTGGAACGGTCCTGGTTGAGGACCCGGTCTCGCCATCATCTGACCTTGGAATGTTGCTTCTCGACAACAACGGGTCCCATCGATGAATTTGGACATTCGTTTCATGTAGTGCATTGAGGCCAGTCGATGCCCATTCAAATGTGATCGCACACTTGCCACACCGGCATCAGGCGCCTTGATTTTCACTGCTCCATCCCAGTGCACACAATGGTGGCAGCGATCTGCAGACAAATAGCCACCAGGATCCACGCGCAATCTGCCCCACACGCCCTGAAAGAGACAAGCTTCTTCGCATGAGGCCACATGCCCATCACCTCCCGCACAAACCCAACCGCCGGCCGTATTGCCACAAGCTGGGCACGCTTGCCCCTCCATAAGCCATTGGCCGCCGGCATCGGGTAGAGATGACGGAGGCATCATGTCTTTCACCGCAGTGTGCAAAGTAGCTCTAGCATGCCGGAGCCAGCAAGTGGCACAGTCTGCGGCTTCTTTGTGAGCTGCGCCACAAGTGCATCTATAGCCGCAAGGAACCTTCTGCAGGCCACAGTCCTCCCATCTTTGAGCGACAACCTCCGCAGCCCTGGCGCCCAGCACCCATAGCGCTGCAACAGATGTCTTCACCTGCACACATGACACACTACGGTGCTCTCAAAGCTCCCTCGATTGAATTCACACTTATTAGTTCTGAATTCAATGCCTTTGTTGCTGTGGCATCGGTTTCTCGAATCCACCTCCTCCAACCCTGTTTTTCTGGTCACCCTGCCTCAGCTCCTTCCACACCCGGCGCTGGCTCTAGTTTTCACACACAACCCTATTCAATGCAACCACGCCTCATCTCCGAGCTGTTGAGGCACCTGGCACGATTGCAGGGTTGCCGTCTTTGTCCACGGCATGCCTCACTTTGGCCTCTACGCTTTCTTGACTGCAACGTCCTACGATATGATGTTTCCCCCTCACTGCGAGCCTCGGGGCCTGCTCTTTCATCACCTGCCAGCGCCTGCGCCTGCAAAGGCGAGGTGGATTGAGACCCCAATCTTGCCAAACTAAGCCCACTCTGTCCCTCCCTCTCTTTCAGGCATGGACGGCGTTGACCCGGCGCGGCGGTACCCGCCCCCGCCGCGCGCCGGCCAACTGCATCGCGCGTCCGCACAGAAAAAGTCTCAGAACAGAATGCGCTGGAAACGTGCAGCTTTGATTGAGCACAGGAAATTGGCATTTCCCAGTCCATCCAGTCTTAAGCCTAAACATCACAATGGTATGGCCCCGTGGAACTTTTGCAATGCAAAATCACCACATCAATCATGCTCCCAGTCCATCCAGTCTGAAGCCTAAACATCACAATGGTATGGCCATCTATGGAACTTTTGCACTGCAAAATCACCACATCAATCATGCTTTCAAGCAAGCTCCAGTCAAACTTTTTCGACCGTCTTTCTCTGCAAGGCTGCTTTCATACTCACATGCCATTCTCAAAGGACCAGGAGTCGGTCAAACAGCAGATCTCACAGACTTCTCCCGCCTCAAGTCACGCCTCTTGTGCTCCGCCTTCACCGCATCGAGCACTGGGTTCACAGGCCACGCAGCCAAGCACTGGAGCTTGAATTTCGGGAAAGCTTCCTGCCCGCCGCGTGTGACCAAGCCCACTGGCGAAGCCATGTCTGTGGACATCTGCAACTCTACCTTCATTTTGCTCTTCGGCTCCTGGCTGCCATGCAGTCGTCGACGCTTGACTGCTTCATTGACTCCTGTCACCCGCTCTGTTTTGATCTCCCGCTCAACTTCCTGCACTGCACCCTGCAGACACAACATCTCCAGGGCTTGAAGCAGAAGAGCTTTGTTTTCCGCACCCCGCATGCGCTGGGTCAGTTGTTGCCAAGTGACAGGCTGGTAGTTTACAACCACCGCCGCCCAGACCAAAGTAGCCGCAGCGCTGATCTTTGCGGCGCACACGTCACCGACATCCGCCACCGCCCCTGGAATCAAGACTGGCCCTCCTGCAGCGCCACCAGCATTCTTGCACCTCGGTTGGCGATCGCTTTGGCCCAGTTTCCTCTCACTCTTTTACACAACCCTCAACTTCATTTTAGGACTAAGCAGTTGGAGGCATACATGGCTTCTCTTCTTGTCCAAAGCACTTGGGGCATACATTGCTTTTCTTCGTGTCGACCTCACCCACGTTGACTACATAGCGCTCCGCCATGAGCAAGCTGAAGTAGACATTAATGGCGCCCCGGATGTCAAGTTTTCGCACTCGCCAATCCCACTCAGGAACAGCCTCTCCGACATCCCCTCCCTGCTTCGAGGCCAAGCCAACGCACACCTGGCACAACGCACAACTGCTCTGTGACTAACACCTGTTTGCAGTCACGCTGCGTCATACATGGACCTCGGCACCCCACAGTCCAGCCTCCGAGATTGCCACCATGCGTTCAATCATCAGGTGGTGCCCCAAGCGCTCGACAATGTCCCTGAATTTCAGAAGGAACGGCAAGACCTTGTCCCCACGTGACCCATGCTCCCGGATTGCTGCTTTGATCAACCGCCACACCACTTGAACCTCAGATCAAGTGTCCAATTCCTGATAGCTGCCCATGAAGTCTTCATCTTGGTTTCTCTATACCTACTACAGACCTAAGCCCCCCACTAGCTCATATGCCTCCTGATCCAGCACGCTCTGAAAAATTGGATTCTCCGATTCAATGAAGTCTGCATCCCTGAGCCAAACTGCGTCCAAAAGGTAATCATACTTCCTCGCCTGGAGCTTGGTAGCAAACTCCTCGCATGGACAGTCTCTGAGCATTCGAACCAATGTTTCCCTCAATTTCCCCTCACCCTCTTCCAGCCCCCACGATATCCTTACTCACGTCCGGCGTGCTTGCAAATAACACT